AAAAAAAAAAAAAAAAAAAAAAAAAAAAAAAAAAAAAAAAAAAAAAAAAGCATGCTTAAGTTCTTCGCAGCACTTTTTTCAACCAATGTTCTTAATAACTCGCTATAACCAAAGAAAAGTAGTCAATATTTGTTGTTGATAAGGGTAAGTGAGATTCTTTGCTAGAGCAGCTAATGAGCTTAGAATGTGCCTTCTTGTTGCAGGTTAGCATGACTTTAAACATATCAGCAGACTTGCAGTCATTATTTACATGGAATACAAAGCAGGTGCAGTGGCAACCTATTATTCTCCTCTTTCTTTATTGTGTTCTCATAGTCCTTAACGGTCTGGTTGGTTAACTATGATTAGGCTCCTCAACTCTAGCAAAGACTTAACTCATAAAGTACCCTAACGTTCACGCCAAACGCTAAGCCATTCTCTCCAACTCTGTTACTACTAAGCCATTCTCCCCCATTTCCCATACCTCTTTGTTTAGCTTGAAGTTAATAGTGTTTTAAGGAGAAATTAGATTAGATGACGATGTTCTTTCTCCAATTTCGCTCGTTTGGAAAATGAACCTGTATAACAAATATATGATAAGGTAACACCTAAAAGGGACAATCACCGTGTAGAGAGCAACTGAAAGGGTTGTGTTTTCCTCCATCTTTCTTTCCCATTTTGAGGATCGAAATTTCTTGGGTTGTGTCCGTGCCTAGTTAGATCCTCTAATTCGGCTACCTCTCCCCAAGGCCGAACACATTTTGCATAGGATGATCACTGATCATTGGTGGCTTCTTTGCCTCTATTTGTGCAACAGGTTTTTGTGTTTCTAGCTGCTGAATATGAAACCCCAAAGAACTCCTTGAATCAGGTCCATCTCTATTTCCTATTACAATATGTTCTTAACCCGCTGTTGAGTTTCGTCTCTTTCAGCAACTCGCGTGACCTTCTAAATTTCTGGAATTTCATTTACAGATCTCACTCTGGGACAGTATTATACCCTCCAAAGCGAGCGCCAAGTTTCAAATCCATACTTCAAACAAGTATCGGTTCGTTGATCAGGTTTGCCAACTTTGCCAACCAATCTATGATGATTATAAGCTTTATCCTAGAGTGACAAAGTTGTATTTCTCCTTATGCAGGGGAGCAATCTAAGAGGTAAAGAGTTTAACTTAACACTGCACTGGCATGTCATGCCAAAGACAGGGAAGATGTTTGCAAACAAATTGGTCATGTTTGGATACCGCTTGCCACAAGAATATAGATGAGCAAACTTCTCCATTGATATGTAATTTCTGAACTAAGTTTAACATAGGCTTTAGCATCAGCTTACTCAACATTAAAGAACAGTGAACATTTTCCAAGCCATGAATTCATCGAAAAAAAGAGTTAAATTTAGCGTAATCAAATGTCCATTGACCTCTGTTCTAATTTTGGATGCCTATGTTTAAGCTAATGAAGCAGCTCATATTGGCCCAACTGATCTCTACAAAGTCTAGACAAGAAAGGGATGATGCTATGTAAAGTACATTCTATGGAGATTGAGAATTGGATCTATTTTATTATCCATTGAATCAAGGGAGGAAGGTAAATTACCAATATTCATGGCTGAAATTCTTTCATCACAGCTCCTTCAAGAATCCCATCGATGCCAAAGTTAACTAAGAATTGTTGAGGATCAACGGGGCCAGGTAGCTGAAATGAGAGTGAAAATTCTCCTGGTGGGCACAGGTTGTGGGTTACCATTTCAAACACTTGAGAATGCTTTTTCACTGTTCTTTCACCTGTTGTTGTAACTCCTTGTATCACTACTCTGCCATCCTTTTCAACTTCACAGTTAAATTCCTCTGAATCACAATGAATCAAAAGACTTGCCAAGTTATGACAGAAAAGCACTGAAAAAAATAGGATTGAAGTTGTAAAATTTGATTTAAAACGATCTCAGTTACATCCTTGAATCTATCAGACCAATGTTGCATATAAACTAGATATATAGAAGAAACAAGTTGACAGCTAGATCGACTAAAGTGATATTCATCCCATCTATCAACCAAGAACGAAACATTGTCTCTATTATTATCAGACATATCATGTCAAATCACCTTCTATTATCTAATAGACATGTCATATCAATAAAAGAAACATAGACTCATGGATGGGTAATGATGGTTACTCTTGTAAGATAAACCTGACCAGATGCAGTAATTATATAAGAAGATTCAGAGCATCAAAAGAAACTTACTTCCATTTCTTTTAACGCCAGGAAGCGACACACGAAACAAGTACGAGTCTTCACATTCTCCAATGTCCATCAATCCAATTATCGGTCCAACGTGCCCCATTGCTGCAGTTCCAGTCAATGCAAATCCTGTATCGTTAGCAGCTACGACACTCGCCCAATCTTCTTCACATGGTTGTCTGGGAAGAAATAGCATTGCTGGACCAAATTTCTTCTCCTCAAGATTACAGTCATATTTAGTTTGAGGAGGTGTCAAGCTACCATTATATGAACCACTACGAACAGAGTCATATTGCAACTCATCTTTAAGAGGAGAGAACTCTTTATTTGATGTATTATGATTATCTGTAGATTCAACATTGGAAGGGACTTTACGAACCGAAAAATTGTGCGACCTTGCTGCATCTCTATCCAAAAGGAAGTCATTGAGCCCTGTTAGCCTCTTGAACCTTTCAACATCCTCAGAGTTGAGATAGCTGACATCTGGGTTATGGATAAACGAAAGGTTTTCGATAAACCTATACCAGTTCTTGGACCGAGAATGGGGATGGAGTTCGGGTGGAAACAGATCAGGAAACTGAGGAAAACTAATATCTCGTCCTTGCGCAGGGAACTTCCCTTGGAAGAACTGGTGCAGTAAAGACGTTTTCATAATAAGAGATTCATCAGCCTTCCTCAAAACATAATAAAAGATGCGCTCTACTTCCACCACCTTTATTTGAGATCCAGCAAGTTGATCAGAAGTATAGGGAGGAAATGCCGCAGCAAGCCTCTGCAGAACTGACTTCAATGGCCTTTCACCTTTGAGGTCAGGCCCAAAGTAGATACCAGCGATTAAATACAAGAGAAAATGTTGGTCACCATCTGGTGTTTTAGTTGGCATAACAGTTAAGGGAGATTTTGAATCCTGGGGAAAGCTACCATCCATTGCAGTAGCAGACGCCAAATAGAACCTACAAACAAGAAAAAGTTGCAAATTGAAATAACAGGTAAAAACAAGATAAATTGCAATCATCTGGAAGGAATGCCCCTTTTATGTCCCTCCCTTCCCACATGCTCATATGCATGGATCCATACTAACATACTGTAAAGGGCTAACCAAAAATCCACCCACCTTCTTGTCCTAAGCCTAGAACATGAATTTGATTCTAATATCAATGGAGGGTCAAAAGACGGGGTGAAAGACTAGACAACTTCAATAAAACCGACGCGCGCTTACAGAGCATAACAACTTTAGAAAATTATTAGGGGGGAAGCCTTTTTACCGTATTGGATATCCGAAATTATCATTGTTAAATCAAGTACTATATCGAGCGAATATATGGATTTGACTGGCAGAAGTAAGCAGCTATCCAATAACTTTCTAGGATCTAGAAACATTAGAGAAAACGTCACCATGTTGTTGAGGATTGTTAGGCGGGAGTCCAATATCGACTAATTAAGGAGATGATCATGGGGTTATAAATAAAGAATACATCTCCATTGTTATGAGGTCTTTTGGGAAAGCCAAAAACAAAGTCACGAGAGCTTATGCTCAAAGTGGACAATATCATACCATTGTGGAGGTTCATGGTTCCTAACATGGTATCAGAGTCATGTCCTTAACTTAGTCATGTCAATAAGATCCATGTCAAACAAAAAAGTTGCAAGCCTCAAAGGTGTAGTAAAAAAGTGATTTAAGTGTCGATCAAAGGATGAACCTTGTTCGAGGGCTTCAAAGAAAGGAGTCGAGCCTCAATTAAGGGGAGGTTCGAGAGCTCCATAGGTCTTAGGGGAGGCTCTATGGTGTACTTTGTTCAAGGGGAGGATTGCTAGGGGGGAGTCCCACATTAACTAATTAATGGGATGATCATGGGTTTATAAGGAATATATCTTCATTGGTACGAGGCCTTTTGGGAAAAGCAAATGCAAAGCCATGAGAGCTTATGGTCAAAGTGGACAATATCATACCACTGTGGAGATTCGTGATTCCTAGCACATGACAACCACCATTTTACAATTACAGATTTGAATTAACTCCTTCCCACCTTTACTGACATCCCCACCCCCAAACTTTCTAGGAACTAATACTCGAAACACTTTTGCTATACGAACATGAATGTAGCTTAATGGTTAAGTCATGAACTCCTTCTTTTGAGTCCAAAGGTTTAAATTATCATCCCCGTATAAACTAAAATAAAATGATTACATATCTGTTTTAACCACAAAGGCCATAGTAAACCTAGATAATAGAAAGCTCACAATTCATCTGTCATTGCATAATTCAAACAGCCACGATTTAGGCGTTACAGCCCAACTGCCATTCTATAAACTGCAATCAAATTACTCTCCTTCTTATGATCTTACCAATCACTAGCAGTACGTCAATTCTAAAATTCAACCTATACCAAGCTAAAAGTATAATTTGTATCAAAATTCATCCATACCAACGGCTTTCTTCCTTTCTTGGACAAAGAAAAGAGTACCTATCTACTAAGTTCTAGAATCAGTTTGAGCTAGCTTACAGATAACATATTATCAAATTTAGGCAAGTGGCTCCAAAACAATATTGTGAGATCTCAAATCGATTGGAGAGGGGAGCGAAGCATTCCTTATAACGGTGTAAAAACCTCTCCGTAACAGACGCGTTTTAAAACCTTGAGGGGAAGCCCTAAACGGAAAGTCTAAAGAGGACAATATCGGCTAGCGGTGAGTTTGATCTTATAAGGGTGTGCAAGCCTCTCCCTAGTAGACACGTTCTAAAATCTTGAGCAGTGGGTTTGGCCTTATAAGGGTGTGGAAACCTCTCCCTAGTAGACCATCTTCCTACTAGATGTGTTTTAAAACCTTGAACGGTGGTTTGGCCTTATAAGGGTGTGGAAACCTCTCCCTAGTAGACGCATTTTAAAACCTTGAATGGTGGGTTTGGCCTTATAAGGTGTGGAAACTTCTCTCTAGTGGACCATCTCCCTAGTAGACGCGTTTTAAAACCTTGAACGGTGGGTTTGGCCTTATAAGGGTGTGGAAACCTCTCCCTAGTAGACCATCTCTAGTAGACGCATTTTAAAACCTTGAATGGTGGGTGTGGCCTTATAAGGGTGTGGAAATCTCTCCCTAGTAGATGCGTTTTAAAACCTTGAATGGTAGGTTTGACCTTATAAGGGTGTGGTAACCTCTCCCTAGTAGACATGTTTTAAAACCTTGAGGGGAAGCCTGGAAGGGAAAACCCAAAGAGAACAATATATGCTACCGGGGGCTAGGGCTATTACAAATATTTTCCAAATACAGGAAATTAATCTAATACAGCCATTCATAGACTTACCGATTGAAAATGTGGAGATGATACAATTTGGCCCTAATGTTAAACTAAGAACACAGTGTTTTTTCCAAAACCCAGCAAGCAAACATGGCTCATAATAATCCAAAATGGGCTCAGCTCATCCACAAATCTAAACTACTTCCTATCCAATTATCAAGCCAGTATCATTCGAATTCAACAAGACAGTCATAGCTAAGATATTCGCAAGTTCAAAGACGAATGAGGGCATTCATTATGTTCCATTCGAATTCCGCCATACCTTACCTGATTTGAAGGAATCAAGACATGAGATAGCTTAAGCAGGCATTTCGAGGTCAGCAGATCGAAACACAGGCGCAATCAGTACCAGATCATAAAAATCCCCAAAAACTCGGAATTACCATCGATTCCAAGGCAAGACTCAAGAACAGAGCGTCCGTATCAAAACCTACGGAGAAATGGTTGAGGTTGCATCAAACAAACAATAATAGAGCCGCACAATCGAGCAGTAGAAGATCGAAAGAAAACTTACAGACGAAATGTTGAAGAAAAGTTCAAGAATCCACCGGTGAGGAATCTTTCGATTAACCAACCACCGATTTTTCGTTACTAGATTTTGGCTACAATCAATCAATTAAAGACTAAATAACTCCCCACATCAAACCCATTTCACAATTTCACCTAAATTATCTCATTTCTTCCTTGTCTTCTCTTCTCTTTTATTTGTTATGTTCTCTTTCTTCTCTCTCCTCTCTCATCTCACCATATAGCTTGAGAGCATCTTCAATATTATAATGATTGTTTGTCTACCAATTAGTTCAAATGGTCTAACAAAACTACATTTGAATACGTATAACTCAATCTCTTAACGTTTAAATTTGGATTATTTATACTCTTAGGAGATATTAAAACTAAAAATTATCTGAAGTTCTAGTTAATTTGTAAGAATGGTTTGAAAGAACATGAAAAAGGTATAAAATTGAGTGGTTTTTTAAGCTAAAACGAATCTATATCGAGGATATATGACCAAAATACAATTGCATACTTATCGTCGTTAAACTTCACAGTTTTAAAACGTGTTTAGTAGAGAGATGAGACTTTCACACCTTTATGTGGGGCCCAACATCTACTAGGAAGTGGAGGTGTCCACACTCTTATTGGGTCAACGTTTACTAGGGAGATGAGGTTTCCATACCCTTATGGGAGGGCCAACGTCTACGAGATGTCCATACTTTCTTAGGGGGCTAGCGTCTACTAGGGAGAGGAGGTGTCCACACCCTTATGGAGGTCAACGTCTACTAGGGAAAGGAGGTGTCCACACCCTTATGGGTGCCAGCGTCTGCTAGGGAGAGGAGGTGTCCACATCCTTATGGGAGGGCCAGCGTCTACTAGGGAGAGAAGGTTTCCACACCCTTATGAGACCAGCATCTACTAGGGAAAGGAGGTCTCCGCACCCTTATGAGAGGGCCAACGTTTACTAAGGAGAGGAAGTTTTCACACCCTTATGGGAGGGCCAACGTTTACTAAGGAGAAAAAGTTTTCACACCCTTATGGGAGGGTCAACGTCTACTAGGGAGAGAATGTGTCCACACTCTTATGAGGTCAATGTCTACTAAAAAGAGGAGGTTTCCACACCCTTATGGGAAGGCCAACGTCTACTAGGGAGAGGAGGTGTCCACACCCTTATGGAGCTAGCATCTAGTAGGGAGGGGAGGTTTCCACATCCTTATGGGAGGGCCAACGTCTACTAGGGAGAGGTAGTTTCCACATCTTTATGGGAGGGCTAGGGTCTGCTAGGGAGAGAAGGTGTCCATACTCTTATGGGACCAATGTCTACTAAAGGAGAGGAGGTTTCCACACCCTTATGGGAGGGCCAACGTCTAGTATGTTGAGTTTTATGTCCTAAAACTCATAATTTGTAAACAAAAACATATTCTATTTTCAATAAAGTTATTATTGTTGTTTATTCAGTAAAGATTGTTATTGAATAAAGTGAACTTTACGATCATTAATCTAAATCCAATAAACTAATAACACTCTGGTTATAGTATGATTACTTGAACTATATGTAGAGACATAAGAATGGATCAAGTTCAAGTATATAGTCAAAATGATCTATAGTATAAGAATAAAGCTGAGTACCTTATTCTGGGGACACTATGGATGCGGCCCACTTTTGTATATGATATAAACAATGTGATCACTAAACTGTACATGTGGAGACATGTGAGTGGGGGCGTCCTATGCAATGAGTATTGCATAAGATCGGATCATGAAGAAAATCACTCTCACTTTATGATGTCATTTACTGTTGAGATTAATTTTCTTTTCATTCGATGACCTAGGTAACTCGATCGTAATCCTGAGCTAACCATGAACTCTTGTTTATTCGGAATTATCCTTAGATTTGCATGGGTGAGAGTGGCTCGAGTTCGCCAACTCAATAGGCTCCCATTTCAGGGGTAAGATTGGGTGAATAGCTGGGGACATGGGGTGCAAGATGGAATTCGCTCCTACCCACTTTTAGGGATAGAAGAGAGGTAGTTTCCCTCAGTACTGACTTCAGGTCTTGAACAAGGGCCCCCACCCACTCATTGGTCTGAGAGGGATTCGGTTTACTGGTTGGAACACAAACCAATTTTTCATAAGAGGATCAGTGGGACATAAGAAACAAGAATTAACTTTAGGGGTAAAACGGCTAATTGACCCAACTCTAGTTACGAACAACTTGTGAAGGATCGACTTACTAATCATGGTTATATCAAATGAACAAAAATATATCTATAGTAAGGGGAGTGCAACTATTAGGCTATAGTGGAGTGTCCTAGTAGTTAACAAGTGTTGTTGATTAACAAGGTTAATGAGTTTAACCGGTTAATCTTGGATCGTTGGAGCCCATGATCTATAGGTCCATTAGGTCCCTCTGCTAGCTCATATCGGACTAAATAATAGAACAGTGTGACGAGTGAGTTCGAAGTGTTCAAATTCAAATTAGAGAATATGCGCTATATATATACGATATATTTAACCGCATTTTTGTTTTATTTACGAATTAAACAAAAGAGAGAATTTGAGATATTTAAATAGTGTCGGAATTGATTGAGATTGACTTTTGAATTAATATTAAATATTAATTAAATAGTTTAATTAATCATTTAATATTACTTTAATTTGAAATTAATTTCAAATTAAAATGAAGAAAGTCAAAATGTTGACTTCATTTAAGGGAAAAATTGATGTTAGTGGAATTTTGAGGTGTCAAAATTTGATTTAACCAAACTTGCATGCTTGTCAAATAAACCCCACAAATTTGAGTGGAATTTTGAGTGTCAAAATTTGGTGATCTCAAATTTGCAAGAACATATAAATATGACTCTGTAAATAGAGTGATCATGGTACATGGAAGGTTGGCGTTTGGAAAAAAAAACCTTGAGAAAAACCTCTCACAAACTCTCTCTTCATATATACTAAATCCCTCCCAAGTTTAGTCACTCACTGGATTCCACAATCTCGTTCTAAGGCCGGAGAATAGTGGAGAAGATACTAGTGGGGTTCGAAACCGGTTCGTGAGGAAAAAGAAACTTGAGCGATAAAAGGTTAGTATTCAAACTTATTGAGTTTTAATGCTTTTGAACATGCTAGCTATTTTACTATAATTGATGTATTAAAGTGCCTAAGATCCAAATTACTTCCACATGTGTTATATTAACTCCATCATATTAGGGAGAGGAGGTGTTCACACCCTTATGGGGCTAGCGTCAAATAGGGAGGGGAGGTTTCCACATCCTTGGGAGGGCCAACGTCTACTAGGGAGAGGGAGTTTCCACATCTTTATGGGAGGGTCAATGCCTACTAGGGAGAGAAGGTATCCACACTCTTATGGGACCAACATCTACTTGGGAGAGGAGGTTTCCACACCCTTATGGGAGGCCCAGTGTCTATTAGGGAGAGGAGGCTTCCACACCCTTATGGGATTCGCATATGCTAGGGAGAGGAGGTTTCCGCACCTTTATGGGAGGGCCAACGTCTACTAGGGAGAGGAGGTGTCCACACCCTTATGGGGCCAACGTATACTAGGGAGGGGAGATTTTCACATCCTTATGGGAGGGCCAACGTCTATTAGGGAGAGGAGGTTTCCACACTCTTATGGGGGCCAATGTCTACTAGGGAGAGGAAGTTTCCACATCTTTATGGGAGTGCCAGCGTCTACTAGGGAGAGAAGGTGTCAACACTCTTATGGGACCAACGTCTACTAAGGAGAGGAGGGTTCCACACCCTTATGGGAGGGCCAACATCTATTAGGGAGAGGAGGTTTCCACACCCTTATGGGGTCCCCATATGCTAGGGAGAGGAGGTTTCTACATCCTTATGAAAGGGCCAACGTCTATTAGGGACAGGAGGTTTCCACACCCTTATGGGGTCAGCATATGCTGGGGAGAGGAGGTTTCCACGTCCTTATGGGAGGGCCAACACTACTAGGAAGAGGAGGTTTCCACACCCTTATGAGGGTCGAACATCCTTGCTGGCTCTGATCCCATTTGTAATAGCTCAAACTCATTGTTAGTAGATATTATCCACTTTAGCCCGCTACAGATCGTCATCAGTCTTGCAATTTAAAAACATATCTACTAAGGAAAGATTTTCACGTTCTTATAAGAAATGTTTTGTTCCTCTCTCTAACCGATTTAAGATTTCACACATACACATCTCCAATTGTGTAATCATATCCCACAGTGCTATTGTAGTATGCACTCGTATTTTGGTCATATTTGGCCCAACTTTAATTTGTTTTAGTTCAATAACCACTTCATTTTATACATTTTTTGTATGTGTTTTCTTCCTGGTCATGCCTTCAACTTAGTAAAAATTTCAATAATCTTAACTTTTAATGTTTATATAAATTCTAACTCCCACATAAAACTCATGATTAATATATATATATATATATATAACCGCGCGAGGAGGATGCGAAGGGACGCACTTAACCGTATTCATCTCAGCCCAATGCAATGCAATGTCTCTTATAAATTCATCTCCCACTGGCATTTCTCCTTGTCTTTAATACTGGATTCGTTGACAGAATCGGAACTCCCTTTTCCGAAGTCCCCGGCTACTTTCCGATGACTTCTCCGGCTAGGTATATTCTTCTTTTGACGTTCGATGTAACCATGGTGTCTGTATCTCTGAATCAGTTTTTAATCATCGGTTACTGCTGCTGTGGGGATTTTCTCTTTTCTAATTACTGTCTTCCGTTTATTGGCACATGAACATTCTATTGTTGAAGAAGATGGGTATTAGGTCAAGGGTTTTTGGTGATAATGAGAAATGAACTGTAGTTACGGGTTTTAGAAGAATTGATGGAAATTTTGTGTTCTATTTGTTTGCTATTGAATGTGTGTATGTGTAATGGTTATTTTTCTGTGTTCTTGTTTTGAATTGGTGCTTATGAGTGGAAATCAGGGGGGAAATTTGTTGGAGATTTTGGCGATTTTAAAATAGTTGAGGTTCTCGGTAATGGGAGTTCGTGGATGAGCCTTAACTTTTCTTATCTATGGTTCTGATTGTATTTTGAGACGAGTTCTTTTCTTTGGTCGGTATGAACACAAGTGCTTGTTCATGGCTCTTCTTTTTGGACCTGAACTGATTTGATATTCTTATGTACTTCACGGGTTCATGAGTTTTTCTTTTTTTCTTTGGAGAAACTGAATTTTGGTAAGAGCATGTAATAATAAAGAATTTAAGGTATGAGTTCCAGTCATGGTGGCCTATCTGCTTAGAATTTAATAAGTTATCTTAGTGACCGAATGTAGTAGTTTCAAATGATTGTCCCTTAAGATTTGTCAAGGTGTGCACAAGTTGGCTCAAAGATTCATAGATTTCAAAAAAGAAAAACACCTTAGTTATTTCCAACAATCTTACGTTTTTAGAAAAATAACACCGAGAGGAGAGGAAGAAGAAGAAAAAGAAGGGCCGACTTGAGTTGAGTTATTGCCAACACTCTTACGTTTTTTAGATATGTTAACCTTCTCTTAATCACAAATGATAAACACCTTAGTTGTTGTGTGTTACACCCTCCTCCATCTTGAGAATTTCTGTTTGTTGCTGTCTCGTTCTCTCTCTTGGTCGTGTAAACTCCCCCAGATGTCCAAATTCACATAATATCCTATTGACAGCTTAGGCCACAGGCATTACAGCATTTGATAGACCAAGCACATGATTAACCTCGTGGCAATTTTTTTAGGCATGTGGCACACTCTTTTGTACCTGTCCCTATAGTTGTGAGATCCCACATCGGTTGGGAAGAAGAATGAAACATTCTTTATAAGGTGTGGAAACCTCCCCCTAGCAGATGTGTCTTAAAAACCTTGAGGGGAAGCTCGAAAGGGAAAACCCAAAGAGGACAATATCTGCTAGCGGTGGAGTTGGGCTGTTACAAATGGTATCAAAGCCAGACATCGGGCGATGTGCCAGTGAGGAGCCTGAGCCACGAAGGGGGGTGGACACGAGACGGTGTGCCAACAAGGACGTTGGGTCTCGAAGAGGGGTGGATTGAGGGGTCTCATATCGATTGGAGAAGAAAACGAGTTCCAGCGAGGACGCTGAGCCCCAAAGGGGGGTGAATTGTGAGATCCCACATGGGTTGAGGAGGAGAACGAATGATTTTTTATAAGAGTGTGAAAATCTCTCCTTAGCAGATGGGTTTTAAAAACCTTAAGGGAAGCCCGAAAGAAAAAGTTTAAAAATGACAATATCTGCTAGCGGAGTGCTTGGGCCATTACAGTAGCTCAGTAGCTTACTGTCGAGGCATTCATCTTTGTCTTCTTATATTAGTAACGTGAATAAATACTCTGGAAGAAACAAGTCCATTAAGTGAGTCCTCTCTGTGACATTTTGGCTTCAGTCTGAGAAAAGTTTATTTACGCTTGAGAAATTTATTTTTTTCAAAGAGGTTATGTTTGTCAAGAGAAATTGTTGGAAATGGCTGTCAAAATCTGCCCTTCGTTCTATCACGGCTCATCTTCTATCTGTTGTTTCGACCACATGAACTACACCTCGGTGAAGAAAGGAAATCTTTAAGACTAAAATATCCTTTCTTTTTCTTACTATTTTTCTCTTGAAAATCTGTATGCATTGGAATAATTTGACCAAATAGGTTATGCCTAGATATTTCATGATATGTTAGCATACTTTCCAATCTTTTATTTTCTATTTATAATTATACTTTGGTTCATTATAAGTCATATATCTCATATCACGGTGGTGATATCTTTTATGCTCTTCTCCCCCCACCCCCGCCTTACATGATGAGCTTGTCACTTGCACGTAAACACTATATCACATACACGCAAGAGGGTAGAAGTTTCCTTCACAATTTTTGATTTTGGCAACGACTTTTGTCATAATCTCAGACTAGATTGTATTAGATGTCTGTCACCCTCCTCAAATGCCCATTACAACACCTCCAAGACCATCTTTTACTTATGAGTTAATTCTCTAAGGAAGAAATGTTCTCAGTTGACTTGAGTAGGGACTGAACATACTGTTGGACTGCTTATAGTATTGGGTCAATTTGGAAGTGTTTGTTATATCTTTTGTAGCGTAAAGTTTAAAGAACCCCACCTCCTAGTTATATGAGCTTGGATGCTTGGAGATATCTTGGTGTCCCTAAATGGAAAATTTAGGCTCTGTTTATAACCATTTGGTTTTTGAAAATTTGACTAAGAATTTAAATATTTTATTTTTGAGGAAGATGTAACACATCTTACAGAAACGGTAAGAAAACAAGTACAATTTTCAAAAACCAAAATGGTTATCAAATGTAGCCTTAATAATTCAAAATCTTTGTTCTCTCAAAGTTGACCTTTTGATGCATGAACCTCCTTGAGATTAGTGGGAGTGGGAGTGAGACCTGAGCATAATATGAGGGAGATTATGAGATCCCAAATCGGTTGGAGAGGAGAAGGAAGCATTCTTTATAAGGGTGTAGAAACCTCTCCTAGCATACGCGTTTTAAAAACCTTGAGGGGAAGCACAAAAGAGAAAGCACAAATAAGACAATATCTGCTAGTGGTGGGCTTAGGCCGTTATAAATGGTATCAGAGCCAAACACGGGGCGATTTTCCGGCGAGGAAGCTGAACCTTGAAGGGGGTGGACATGAGGCGGTGTGCCAGCAAGGACGCTGGCCCCAAAGGGGGTGGATTGTGGGGTCTCACATTGATTGGAGAAGCGAACAAGTGTCGGCGAGGACGCTTGGTCCTGAAAGGGGTAGATTGTAAGATCCCACATCGGTTGGGGAGAAGAATGAAACATTCTTTTTAAAGGTGTGGAAATCTCTCTCTAGTAGACGTGTTTTAAAAACTTTGAGGGAAGTCCAAAAGAGAAAGCCCGAAGAGGGTAAAATGCCCCTATCAATGGGCTTGGACTTGGACTGTTAGAGTGATCCTTTAGCACCCTTTTTATTAGGAAAAGAAAGGATCTTAAAGACTCATCCTTCATGTCTGTTCAATAAACGGTATAACGGAAAGCCATCAGACTATGTTTTGATCATATTACTGTCTTGCAGGGCTGAGGACACAAGAAAAAATGAGGCAGAACCATTAAGTCTTCGTAACCAGATTCTCGATGTGGCTCCCATCAATAGCATGCCATATATTGGTCCACCTCTACCACACAGCTACATTCCTTCTTCTCCGCGAGCAGAAGATCCCGAGGCTGTGGTGAATGTTGGGCCAGCTATGGTATATTGTCCTCTAACAACCCATCAAGAGTGGGATAATATTGTATCTTCCACCAAAAGCGGGGTTGCCCTCACCGGGACTGCAGCCATGGGAAAAGTTGGACCAGTTATCGGACGTGTGGACATCGGTGAGAATGACAATTCGTACTTCTTCCGTGTCTCTCTTCCAGGGGTGGCTAGAGATCAAAGTGAGTGTTTGTTGAAATCAATCAGTTCTCTCTCACCTACTCTCCTACCATAATGTGCAGCTGTTAATGTTATCCTACCAATATCAGCACAAGATTGTTCTTATATCTGTTGTTGCATCATCGCAATCATGTCTATTCCTGTTTCGGTGCACATGAAAACTATCTATCTGACCAGACTATTGTTTTCTGGCAGCAGACAGTTTCAGCTGTGACATGGACCCGGACGGGAAAGTGAAAATAATAGGAGTAACGACGACAGGCGAGAACATAGTATGTAAGAATTCACAAGTGTTTCGGATGCAGTCGAAAAATCTATGTCCACCAGGTCATTTCTCTATCACTTTTCAGCTACCTGGTCCTGTCAATAACCTGCAATTTTCTGGTGCTTTTGGGGCAGATGGGATTTTAGAAGGCAGTGTATCTAAAGGGTGATCAACAGGCTTAAATAGAGGGGGTGAGGCCTTTCTGATAAGGAAACAGGCCTATTAGGAAAGAACTTAATTTTTGCTCTGATTCCCTAGGAGATGCTTTGGAAGGACCTGCTGAATTTTGTTTGGCCTAGCTTACTAAGCGCGGGTTCTCTTATGACATCTTGGTCCAGGGGTCTTGGCTGAGCTTACTAAGCGTTGGTTCTCGAACCGGCCAAAACAACCCCTTCGAATCTGGAGAACGTGAAACATCAGGTCATTTTACATCTTGGTCCAAGGGTGTTGGCTTAGCTTACTAAGCATTGGTTCGAGATCGGCCGAGCAATCCCTTCGGACCTAGAGAACGTGAGACGCTGGTCTATAATTCTTCATTCCTCTCTCTCTCCCTTTCCCACTCATTGATTGAGTACTATCATTAGATCCTTTTTTGGATTATAATCAATTTCAAGTAACCCATCATCAAATTAAAAAGATCTTTGAAAATTGTCGTGAAAAAGGTGTATTAATAACACATGACAAACGATTGTTCACTTTGTAAAACTTTCTACGAATTTAAAATAATTTTTGTTTTAGGTGAATATTTGATCCTTACCCTACCAACCTTTACAAAATTTTTATTTTATGTAATGTTCAATATATGTGTTTACTTGGTCTTGGATTTTCAATTTTTGGTATTGAATTATATATTCTTGATATATGTATATAAATAATGAAAATTGAAGAAAAATAGAAATGGAAAATGAAAATTTTATAACCTAATAAATGAAGAATAAACAATTTGATTGCCTAAAAAAATTGAAACATTGGTCCCATAATTAATTTCAATATTACTTATCATAATTAATTTAGATTTAATAAAAAAATTAATAATTTTAATGGTATTAAATGAGGTAGGTAATCATAATTAGAGGGTAAAATGGTCAGAAAACATATCTAAAAAAATTAACAAATCCAAATGAATTTTTTTTAAAAAATAAAGGTTTTTTTAAGGAAAAATAAAAAATAAAAACAGCACAATTAATTTTTGTAAAAATAAAAATTTGTTAGGAATGAAAAAAAAAAAAAAAAAAAAAA